AGTGTGGTGTAGTGGTTAAGAGCATGGGACTGGGACTCAGGCGATCTGGGTTCGAGTCCCCGCTCAGCCATGGAGCCAACTGGGTGACTTTGGGCCAGTCACAGACTCTCAGCCCAACCTACCTCACAGGGTTGTTGTCGTCGTGGGGATAAGATGGAGGAGGAGAATGATGTAAGCTGCCTTGAGCCCTTTGTAGGAAAAAGGCAGAATATACATCGATTTAATAAATAAATAAAGTTTTTATTAATGAATTAGATGAGAAAGTGCAAGGAAAGATAATTAAGTTTGCAGATAACACAAAGCTGTGGGGAAGAGCAAATACCCTGGAAGACAGAAATAAGAGACGAGGTGATCTAGATAGGTTAGAAAGCTGGACAGAGATGGTTTGAATGAAACGCAGTAGGGAGAAATGCCAAGTGCTCCAATAAGGAACAGGAGACCAAATGCTTTGCTACTAACTGGGGGATACTTGGCTCAACGATACTGCGGAGGAGAAGGATCTTGGGGTCGTTGTCAATCACAAGCCAACAATACGATCCGACAATATAATGCAGCTGTAAAAAGGGCAGCATTAACAGAAGTGCCACTTCCAAAACACAGGAAGCATTAGGGCCCCTTTACTCAGCGCGAGTCAAACCTTAGCGAAAGTCCTGCATCCAGTTCTGAGCACGTGCATTTTTTAAAAATGCAGAAAAGCTAGAAAGGGTACAGAGGAAGACCACAGGGATGATTCAGGGACCGGAGGCAAAGCCCTCCAAGGGAAGACTGGGAGAACTGGGCATGTTCAGCCTCAGGAAGAGACAACAGACGGGAGATATGATAACACTCGACAGGTACCTGAACGGTTGACACCAAGAGGGAGGATCTCTTCTCGTCCCTTCCAGGGTGCAGGAAACAGAATAATGGACTTAAGTTAAAGGAAACCAGCTTCAGGCTGGACATCAGGAAGAATTTCCTCACTGTCAGAGCAGTACGACAATGGAACCTGCTGCCTGGGGAAGCCGTCGGCCCTCCCTCGCCAGGAACAAAGTGTCTGGACAGCCATCTGAGTGGGATGGAGTAACTTAATTTGTTTATTATTGCTGTAACATTCAATTGCACAAGCTCTCAGAATGGTTTATGGAATATACTTAAAAATTTCATACAACATTCATTTTAAAACCAAAGTTCAAACAAACCTGCCTGGCTTTCTGGCCCCTTCCAACTCTACTGTTCTATGATTATGGGATGAGTCTATGATTGTGTACTCCAAGCAGACTCTCGAAGGGTGTTTTTTCCACTCCTGTCATCACCCAGAGTGGCTCCTTTAAAAAACAAGAAAAGTCGTATTAGAGTGACCCCTGAAGCATGTTTAGAGAGAAAAGTAGTCCTACAGTTCCCATCATTCTGCCTAAACATGCATCGATTTACACCCCTGACTCTTTAACTTTGCCAATATAATTATGAGGCACACAAAGAAGTCCCTCTCCCTTGTCTTTCCTCTGGAATTTACTTGGCATTGAATGACCCTAAATTTCAGCATTACGGATGCACTTTCCTGGCCGTCATTTTACTGTGGTAGCAGAACTCTCACGGACTCCCCTCACCGGACCATTTTTCTCCCATCACAGGAAAAGGAACGGCTGGGAACTCTCACAGATGAAGAGATCAGCCACGCTCCCTCCCGAGTCCCCCCGAGAGCCTCGCCCCGCGGGAGATGCCGCCCCTCGGACCGGGACCCGTCCCGCCGCCGCGTGTGGACCCTTGCCCGGAACCCCGCTCGGGCGCCACTGGATGCCCGAAGCGGCAGGCGAAGCGGCAGCTGGGAGGCAGCCTTCCCGACGGGCCCCGTCCGATGTCCCGCTCCGCACGCCGAGGACCCGCTTGTTCTCCCCCCGATCCTGCCCCTCCGCGCACTGCGATGCCACACCTGCCCATTTAACGGAGCCATAAAGATACTGCCAGATATT